ACCACCGAGGACGACGAAATGATGTTGGACTCGCCAGCCCCCATTCCTCGGCAAGCGTCGTTGGAGCCACCCAAGCCACTGGGAGCCGAGTAAGTTTGATTGCCACATTCCTCCTAGCTCAAGGGGTCGCATCTAACTCAGGGGTAGACGGAGAAAGCCAGGCCTGCGCCGCCCGTCCTTGACTCGAATGAAAGGCTACTCTACTAGTGGCGTTCCTGGTCGATCCAACACAGACAACCAGCTCCCCACCTTCCGATTTGGTGAGAACCGTTTGTCACATATGAGCAGTGCTCTGTCCTTGGATGAATGCTTCGATGCCACTTCACCTCCTCAGGAACGACGACCTCAGACGGCCAACAGCCCTACTCCTGCCGTTCCCGGTGCCATTCGTCCTCGTCCCCAGTTCTCCAGCCTCTCCGGTAACCGCAACAGCCCCTTTGGTAGCCAGCACCACCGCCGCCCCGTCTCAAATCCCTTCATGCGTCCCCGCAAGCAGTTCCGTCGCTCTCTGAGCATGTTCGAGCACCCTGGCGATGTTGGCAAGGCCAAGTCAGAAGGGGGCGACTCTTCTCCCACGACCCCGGAATCCCACTGCGGCATGGATGCCGACGAGGTTCAGGAGCTCCTCCTGCCTCACTTCCTGGCCGATGACCCCACCGACACCATCCCCAGGATCACGAGAGAAACCATGGTCGACCTCTTGGACGGAAAGTACAGTGACAAGTTCGACCAGAAGATGGTCATCGACTGCCGTTTCGAGTACGAGTACGAGGGCGGCCACATCGACGGTGCCGTCAACTACAACAACAAGGACCTCCTCGCCTCTCAACTGTTCCAGCACCCCATGCAGGGACGAACCATTCTCATCTTTCACTGCGAGTACTCTGCTCACCGCGCCCCCATGATGGCCCGCCACGTCCGCTCTGAGGACCGAACCGTCAACGCCGAGCACTACCCGCATCTTACCTACCCTGACGTGTATATTTTAGAAGGAGGATACAGCGCCTTCTTCAACGAGCACCGCTGCCGGTGCTACCCTCAAAACTACGTTGAGATGTCCGACGAAGCTCACCAGCGCACCTGCGAGCGCGAACTCGGCCGCCTCAAGAATCCGCGCAAGCAGTTCGGCAGGGCCCAGACGTTTGCCTTTGGCGAGCGCGAATCCTGCGTCGAACAGTCCCCCACCGCGCCACCGAGACCTAGCGGTCTCAGACCCAGCATCAGCTTCCGCCAAGATCCCAGCACCATGATTGGCAACTCTCCAATCTTGGGCGAACGTTGCCATGCAAGACGCATGGCTTCATACTAGTATTATCAACGCTCCCCCACTGTCTGCTGCACAATGGCGGAGCAGTCTCCTCGTCTGGAGGAATGAAGCTGTCTCTCACTCTGTACCACTCACCACCGGTACAGTCCCGTCGAACACTTCCCGGCATCCTTTAATAGGGCGATCCACAGCAGCCTGATTGTCGATTTTATGCGTCTCTTCTCTGCACATGTCAACCCTATTCGATTCAACTGCCAATATTCCGCCTTACGAATCCGACGTCCAAAAGCAGCTTAACGCTCACGGCCGCGATGAATTCACTATTACGCTAATAGAACTCGTTATGCGCTTTGTTCTACACCAACCTGAACATACAAACACAACAACCGGCATTAGACGCATTGGCATATTGTCCCGCATCGCCACAACATGGTTGTTCGGAGTCCATCTTGGATCTGGCATCTCGCGGTGGCTCCTGTCGGCATTTACAGCATTGTCCTTGGTTTTTTCATTTGTCAGAATTTCTGCATCATCCGGCACAGCTGGTCGGATGAGGTCCGCCGGGGGAGTTGGTCTCGACACACACGATATTGCGCGGTCACACCTGCGGCAGTCGTGTCTCCGCATTGTGGGCTCGGGAGCATTTCACTATGACATCTCGGTCCGCTTTGTTGGTCTCCCACCTATATCCGGGAGTATTTCAGACCATACCCGGCGGACTGTTCTTCTTGTTTTCTACCGAATTTCCTTTGTCTGGTCACTTGACCCTTCACCTGATACCAAAACTTTCCATCCAAACGCCGGATACCCGACATCCTTGTCATCGGATGACACAATACACTCACAGACCTCACATCACCATTCCCTTTACATTTTTTCAAAACAAGGCCTCACGGACCAACACTGGCCGGGCTTGTTGGAGGACTTTCACCTCCTGTGTACATTGTAGGAGTACCTGGAACAGGACAGCGCGAGAGAAGTGGAAAAGCTACGTGTGGAAGAAAAGCAGTTGCTCGGGAAGCCTTGTAACATTGGCGTTATTTTGGGGGAGAGCACTGCAAGCTTAGAAGCTGAGTCGTGCGATTACGGCGTGGGTGAATCCACGCTTTCTCTGTACAGTACTGGCATCGAAAAGAAATTGCCAAAACACCATGGTTCCATAGAAGGACCATTCTGGGCTAGCTCATACTCAATTGAATGAAAATACACACAAACAAACACGCACGCACAAATTGGGATCGTGAGAGAGACACGCGAGCAGCAGCAGACGCAGCGGCTCATGCTACGCGCGCGAGAAAGCGCGTCTGTCCGAGCCTCTGAGGTTCGAGGCCCGCCGCGGCTCGCGATCGTCTGTGCAGTCCGGAGGTCTTTGCTTCTAGCGCGTGTGTTCGTCCGGCCCTTTGAGGATTCGACCACGTTTTGAAACATCCTCACGGGCCATGGTCGAACGCTGCGGTTCCCTTTCTTTTCCTCGTATCGGCGGCTCCTTCCTTCCCCTCGATCTTCCTTGTTCCATGCGCCGGTCTCACGATTCACGACTCACGTCATCGTTTGCTTTGACCAGCAAAGCAGCCAGAAATCCGGGGGATCCCTACCAGACAGCACCGTTGGCGGTGGCTTGCTTTGGACAGGGCCAAACATCAACAAGGACGGCGGACGCGATAAACACACGGACATTTCGGGACGTTTTTGTGTTTCTCTTGCGCTAGGATCTTGTTTTTTTGCTTCCCTTGCTGGCGCTTCCACCTCACCATTATGGCGCGGTTTGGATCTTTGTGGAGGCTATTAACAGATGTTTTGATTTGTGTGTGTTCTACGGGCGTTCTAGCGTCTGGCTTTGATGCGTTTGTTACGTGATGGAAAACGGGGACGCAGGTAAAGAAAGGGAGGGAGGAACGGGAGGGATGGGCTTCAATGGGGGACTTGGGCACGACGTGATGAAAGGCTAACTTACTAGGGAGGGACGGGGGTTGAATGGGTGCGGACTCGGCCGCTGCTTCGGATGAATGAATCGACGAACGGATGAATGGGACTATGGTGTGTTGTGGTTCTCTTTGAGGGGTTAAGGGAACTTCATGAGAAGCTGTTTCCACGTGCGGTCCTGAAAGAAGATGTCGTTGCACCCGATGATGTGACGCTGGCGGGCGAAGGAACCGTTCGTCTGGATTCGGGGGCTAATTAGGTTGCAGCGCGGTGGTTCATGAGTCGGGGGCAGATGTGATGTTGATTGTTATCGTGAGCCTCCCTTACTCAGGGGAGGGGGACATGCTTAATTCCAGTGAACCAATCAGGAGCTGGACGAGTCCTTCGGAGTGTCTGCCGACGGGCTATTGTAGCCATGGGAGGTGGAATTTGACAAACGTTCCTTGATGGAAAGCGCCTTTCCTATCCCGTCTCAACTAGCTAGCTACTATTCTCTCCCGTTCTTCCTTGTTAGCCATACAGACATGGAAGAAATCTACAGGCTGAGAAGGTCCAGTAAGTGTATCCTTACTTTTCACGGCACACAGACTACGATGCAAATAAGGGAGAGAAAAGAGATGGTCGGGCAGGAGAACGACCAAGAAAACAGGAGCTTGGCAAGTGAGCTCTCGAAGGGCATGATGAGAAACACAGGTTGACGAAAGAAGAAAAGAACGTTTACCCTCGTCGTCCGGGGGGTGGACGCCACGCCGCGAGTCTCACAACAAAGGTTCTCCTCGAGGGGGCGTTTGGTTCATGGTCTCAGTTTGAGCTGTCATTGCTTTTGTACGGGCCGTATAGGATGCAAGGGATTTCGGATAAGGCCTGCGGATACCGAAATCTTGGATAAAATGCTTGTGCAAAGCGACGGCATATTATTCCACTGTCACTTTCTCATGTTTGGGTTTTGAGAGAGAAGTCTCTCGTTATGCAACACGCAGCAGAGACAAGCTGAGATCTGATGACGGAGATGAGGAGGTCTCAGCCATCTCATACTGCGGAGTGGTCCGGAACCTTCACAAGCTTGTCGTCGAGGCCTCAAGGTTTTCCCTCTTCTTGTCGTGTCGGCGGTGTGAGAGAGCTGAGGAATGTTGTAGGGGTCCAGGGGTCCTAATAGGCCAAGGCAGGGTGGGGGAGGAGAGCACTCCGGGCGAGACAGTATGAAGTATTCCGCTCTGAGGTATGGACGGTAAGACGGGCACAGAGCCTTCGACGTAATGCGGCGTGCCTTGCAAGAGCGGGACGTTGCCGTGGGGTCTCGCGGGCATGGGGGGCAGGACAGATGGACGCAGCTGCCTTCTGACGTTGCTAGGTTGAGAGTTGAGGCTCTGAATCATGGCTGGCGTTTTGTGGCAGATTTCGGGGTCCGGATCTTCGGTGGCATTCTTCTGAAAGAAATGTGGGATACGGTTGATGCGGTATTCTTGTGGAGGCACTGCTCCGGAGACATAATTCGGTTGCAAAATGAGTGCGTTTTTGGAAAATGTGGTGAAATCACAAACAACTTTTTGTTGGCGTCTACTTGTATGCGGTATATATCTGAGAAATACGCCCGTGTCTGCTTTGATATGTGAACCGAGTCAAAATCAGATGCTGCCGCTGCCCCTCCAGAGGCAAGCAGATGCAGAAAACTTGGGTATCCCGAACGCCACCTATGCCCATCCCATGCAAGAAATCAGATTGCGCAGTTGCCCCCTTTCCATTTTCAAATGCCAAATTCAGATAACCTTCCTGACCACTCCAGAACCGGAAAATCTCCGTCTCTTCTTGTCTATCCCGTAAAGTCCCAGTCCTTGAACGCGTCACGAAACGCCTCGACGTCCTTGACCTCTTCCTCCTGGCCCTGGACGCAGTCCCGCCAGACGAAGCGCTGCTCCAGCTTGAGAAGCTTGGCAACGACCTTGCGGGGGTATTGCAAGTCGAAACGCATGTTGGGATCGAGCTTCATGACGAGACTGGTACCCTTAATCCTGTCGTCGCCGTTGTCTGCCCAGATCCAGATGCGGAAGTAGTCGCCAATGGTGCCCTGCTCCTCGTACGAGAGCTCGGTGTTTTCGAACTCGGGGTACTTGAGGTTCTCTGCCTCCACCTTGAAGCCCGCCTCGACAACGTTCTTGTAGACCATGTCCGCAGGAACGGGGTGAAATTGCCAGTGGACGTGAATGTTGCGCTGGCGGCTGATCTCCCAGGTGATGGCACCGAGCTTATGATTCGACTTGGCAGCAACCATGGCTTGGAGGCTCTCTCGGAATCGAGTCATCTCCTTGTGGGTTCGCTCCGCATCTTCGGCAGAGTAGCTCTCCGCGCCAGAGTGGTAGATGGTTGGCGTGTGTGCATGTGGTGTCATGATGATGTGGCCTGGGAAGCCCAAGCCCTGTTTCTTGAAGGTCTCCGATGTGGCGAGAGGGCCCTTGGCAGTAGCAAGATAGCTGTCATCACCGACAGTGGCGACCATGTGGGTGTCCAGATTCGGGTTTGAGAGGCAGAAAAAGCAACGGTCAGGGCCGGGGGGAGGGGAGTGGTGACGACCTCGCTTGTTTCCGCGGCGATGACGGCGGTCGCCGTCATCTCCGTTGCCGAAGCGGCTGTAAGAGCCTTCCTCTTGCGCGCGTCTCTTGGGCTTCCTGGGGCTGAACGGGGTGAAAGTCGCGCCAACGGGGCGCTCTACCGAAGTCTCGTTGAGCTGAATTGTGAAGGCGTAAAGCGCCTTGGCCTTCGCTGAATTGCCGTAAGGAGCCATGGAGATGAAGCGGGTGATGGGAAAATCGTCGCTGCCTTCCTCGGTGGGATGAAAGAAAGGCTCGCGTTCGTAGAAGAACTCGGCGGGAGAGGGGGAGAAATGATAGCGGGGCTTCAGTGTAGCGCAAAGATCCGCTACCTCCGCCGTGCTCTCAACAATCGCCTGGTTCTCGGGGGCAAGAGCGGTCTTGGAGTTCGTCCAGACACCAGCAGGCCAAACTGCCGTCAGCAGAATATCCGCCTTGTTCGCTCCTTTCAGTGACTTCGCATCGTCGGCAGTGTGGAAGGGCAGGTGCTGTTCCTTCGACTGCCCACCAACGACTTCCTTATCGAGCTTTCCACCCAGAGCAACGATTCTGACACCCTCTGAGGTCTTTGTGATCCTGCGCTTGCCGAGGAAGTGGAGGTTCTCGCAGATTTCCTCGTCGGCCTCGATCTTGGCGACGATTCGCGGAGGAAGGGGCGCGGCTCCAATGGTGAAGTAAGTAGGCAAGGGCACCTTGATTTCGCCATTGAGAAGAGACTCGACGGTGGCGTCGTCCTCTGCGCCGAAGAGGTTGCCGGTTACGATTGCGAAGCTGAAGTTATTCTTCGCGTGGAGCGTCGCGACCTTGGAAAAGGCAGGCTGCAGCGAGCCATTGAGGCTGCCCAGTACGATCCTGTGACATGTCAGCACTCTTGAAAAACACCCTGCCAGTCGTGGAGTCGTATCGAGGAATACTCACACCTTGGGTGCAGCCATTGCGCCTTGCTGATTCGGGGTGTGACGGGTTCGAGTGGTTGTTGAAGGAAGCTTGAAGCTGGAAAGTTGCGACTGGGGATGCGCGATGAAGTAATGTGGATCTCTATCTGGAAGGAAAATGATTGGACAGGACCCGCTTTTGATATTCTTATCGCCTTATCGAGGTGGACCGAGCTTCGCCCAGCAAAAAAAAAGTTCAAATCTTTCTGGGCAGCTTTGAAGAGTCGGCGGGGAACTTTTTTTCGCGATCAAGCAGTGAAGCTGGGAGGCGAAGACGACGGGTTCCTGCGCATACCGCCTGTCAACGCGCCCAATATGCCTTCCACTTCATCTGGACGTATTACAAAGACCCGAAAGGGCAAATACTCAACACCACATCAAAAGAACCACCGATGGGAGTCCTTCGCGACCAAGGTCTCCAAACTACACTCGCTCGATCCCCTACGAAAGGTCCGCCGACATGATCTCGACGAAGAAGACCTCGAAGCGACCACCTCATACTTCCGGACCGGCCTGCAGAAATGGGGCGAGCTCAATGTCTCAAAAGCCTTCAGCGATTTCAAGAGGGTGGTCTTGCCGCTGAGTGAGAGTCTCCCCCAGATTCTGCACTTCGAGAAGGACATCTTTGAGGCGCTCGAGACGTCGATTGCGAAACAAGACAAGGATGCCTTGGAGCCTGTCTTGGACCTATTGACAGCTTTCGCGCACGATATTGGTACTAGGTTCGAAAAGTACTACGCCAAGTCTCTTGATCTCATTATCGCCATCGCCGCCAGGCCGCAGGATGCCGATGTTATTGAGTGGACCTTTGCCGCTCTCGCCTTCTTGTTCAAATATCTTTCGAAGTTACTGGTCCCGGATTTGCGACCGACGTACGATGTCATGATACCGCTCCTGGGAAAGGCGCGCCACCCTCCTCATATTGCTCGGTTTGCCGCCGAGGCGTTGAGCTTTCTCATTAAAAAGGCAGCGGCACCAGCGAACCGGGAGACCGCTCTCGTTGCCATCGTTGAACACGCAAGGAACGACCTTCGAAGCACTGTCGGCGACCGCCAGTTCCTACTATACCAGGATGGCCTCATGACTATGTTCGCCGAGGCGATCAAGGGCCCAGGACAGACCATCCACTCAACTGGACCGGCCATCTTCACAACACTCATGAAAGCCATCCCCGAAACCGAGTCGGACCTCACGCCGACGGCGACCTGGACCGATCTTGTTTGCGGTGTCTTGACCAGCATCATACACCACTCCAACGACAAGGATCTTGCGCTGGTCCTTGAAGCGATCCAAGACCATGTGCAGGCAGCATTAGCCGAGTCTAAGCCAAGCAAGACATGGCGATACGTGCCTTTAGTCAGGGTTCTTGGTACGGCTGCGGGAGTCCGGAGAGGATCTCGCGTCAGCAACTGGCCCGTACTCGTCCAAAACCTGACAGCGATGCTGGATGCGATGGCACAGAACTCCCCAGAGGCAACGGAGGATAAATTGAGCCTGATATGGAAGCATATCGTTGTCAACGCCGCGATCGTCTGGCACCAGGCGCCGATTGACGCTTTGATTCCGTGTATCAAGGACTTCATGACTGCTCTTCAGAGGGAAAAGCTCATGAGATGGTACATTCCGTTCTGCGCCTACTTTTCAGAGTTGGATTCTCAACGATTTCGAAGTCTCTTCCAGACCTATTTCCAGAGGTATGTCATAGAGCATCATCTTTCATGTCTCGCATGCTAACATTGACCAGGTTCATTGTCAGCCACTGGTCCGACGGTCGAAACGAGGATATGCTGTGCGTTTTCTTACCGCGCATGGTCAAGTCAGGCAGTCTGCCCTCGCCAGGGGGCAAGGAGACCTGCAATCTTCCGCGCAGCTGGCAGGACCAGATTGTGTCAAAGTTCGAGCGCCTCGAAGCGTCACCCTTCCCCGAACGTGGAGCCTATGATAAGGATCCCCAAACATGGCGTGATAGGTGTCTGCCCAAATACTCAGCACTTCTAGACCTCCTTTACTCTACGACAGTTCACCCATCAGCAAGCGCTAAGATCGCGGAACTTCTACTTAGAAAGTTGAGGCTCGCACTAAAACCATCGTCCACGTTGGCGTCGGATGAGGTACACTTCAGCGTCAGCCAGGGCTTTCATGCGTACCTGCGCATGAGCAAGGCAGCTGGCCCGGTGGATTCGGCTCTCAGCCCGCTTCTTCGTGCTGCCGTGCCTCGGTTCAGCCGTTCAGTTGGCTTCCTCGAAGCTTACCTGGAGTACGCTGAAGCAACCAAGAACCAGCCGCCATTGGTCGACCGCCAAAGCAGCGACAGCAGCGAGGGCTCTGGAGAGGAAGACCCTGTCATTCAGGCACTAATTGAGAACCTCTCTGCCTCTTCTCATGAGCTTCGTCTCGCTTCTCTTAAGATTCTCCAGCAAATCGAGTCGACGCCCGATGAACACTCCTGTCATACCCTTATGCTGGATATTGAACAGACACCTATGGAGCTTTCCACGATGAGAAATGTTGCTATGCATCTGCGCAAGCTTGGTCAAACTTACTCTCAGTTGAGCGAAAACTCTTGGCTCTTGAAGGCAATCCCTTCCTTCATGTTCGGCATGCTGACAGTCAAACTTTCGCCTTTGTGGGACGATACTATTACCGCTCTGAAACTGGTTGGAGAATCCAAGACGGGCGCAGAGGCTATTTCAGATATGGCCTTTGACTGGATGGAAACGCCTTCGCCCAGGTGGTCGGGTCCCGGAAGTCAACCATCGCTCCAGGGCAGGGAACCCGTCACTGACTTCGACTGCACCCATCTAAAGAAACTCTGGAGGATGGCGGATGAGGTTGAACCTGTGGTTAACAACGCGGTAGACCTCATGCTTCAATCTTTTGATGAGCAGCAGCAGACCGTCGAGGCCCACGCGACAAACGCTCGAGCCCAGGCTATCAAGGTCTTCACCGCAATGCCTGCGTCTGCTGAGAAACACTCGCGCAAGCTGGTGCCCTTTTTCTTGCCTTGGGCTCTTGATGAGGATGATGCATCCGACGCTCAGGACGATGATGAGCCTCAATCCAATGGAGAGGACTGGTCACTTCATGACCGCAAGGCACTCGTTGGTGTCTTTGCTCTGTTTGTTAACCCGAAGTCTCTGTACCAGAACGAGAAGGTGTATCGCGCCCTTCTCCACCTCATGGAGAATGGTGATATCGAGGTACAGAAGCAGGCATTGAAGGCTATCCTCGCCTGGAAGCAAAAGGGAGTCACACCTTACAAGGAAAACTTGGAATATCTCCTCGACGAAGCCAGATTCAAGAACGAGGTTACCGTTTTTCTGCAAAGCGACGAAGTCATTCGACCTGAGCACCGGGCCGAGCTCATGCCTGTGCTTCTGAGACTCTTATACGGAAGAACCATCTCTAAAAAGGGAGCTGCCAGTGGCCGTCATGGTCTGCTGGCTACTCGTCTGACCGTTCTGAGAAACCTGAGTGTAGAGGATATGGGAAGTTTCTTGGACATCGCGACTGGCAGCCTGAGAAACGCTCGCGTTATTGATGAGTCTGGTTTCCGCTCCAGCTTGTTCGATCGGGAAATTCTCCCTCCTCGCAAGCAAGTCGGTTTCATGAACATGATGCTGCCCCTCATCAACGAGCTCGGCGCTCATGTTGGGCCTTATGTCGAGAGACTTTTGCATCCCATCTTGTACTGCTTGATCTCCGCTTGCCGGCGACTCCGGGACACGGCGATTCAGGAGGATGACGAGGACGAAGAACCCACTGAGGCGTCTCAGGAGTCGCTGTACAAGGACATCCGCCAAACCGGCTTGAAGTGTATCATTTCTCTGTTCCGCAATGCGCAGGATTTCAACTGGTCGCCGTACTCGGAACCTATCGTCAACGAGGTCATCGTCCCCAGGACCGAGAAGTTGCCTATTGAGACCGCCCAGTCGATTTCTGGTATTATGCAGCTGCTTTGGACTTGGTCCCAGCTTCCTAAGGCTGCGCTATTCTTGTCAATCAACAGCCAGATTCTACCGAAGGTTATCGAGTGCGTTTCGGTGCCGAAGGCCAAGGAAAACGTCAAAGTGTTCGCCCTCAGCATCGTCCGCAACCTCTTCAAGCTGGCACAGGCTCCTGCCGGGGAGTCTGAGTTCAATGAACTTATCCGCGTCGAACTCATTGATGCGAACATGGAGCTGATTTTGAGGACAATTACCACTGCCCTTGAGGCGGAGATGGGCAACGAGCTGTTGGAGGCTTGCATTGAAACCATTGTTGAACTCTCTCCTATGGTTGAAACCTCCCAGAACGTTCAGCAAACTCTGGATATCTCAACTAAGCTTCTCAACCAGCCCGCACGCAAGGTCAGCCCCAAAGCCAAGGGCAGGATTCTGCTCATTCTTGAGCGTTTCATCAACATTCTGGGTGCTTCCGAGGCGGAGGACACGACTGCTAACATCGCTATCTACGAGACTCTGGCTTCCCTGTTCAGCTACTTCAAAGACAGAGACAACAGGACGTCTCTGGCCCGTGTTCTTACGGCTCTTGCCGCCAAGGATGCCACTATCCAGGAAGTTGCCGAGCTTTGCAGCGCCCTCAATGCGTTTGCACCGGACCGCATTGATGAGCCGGACTATGATAAGAGACTCAAGGCCTTCACTCAGATTACGAACAAGGAGACGCCATTTACTCCTAAACAATGGCTCGCGCTCCTGCACAACTTGATCTTCTTCATTCGCAGCGATGAGGAGTACGGCATCCTTGCGTCAAACTCTGCAGACGGTCTTCGGAAGTTCATCAGCGAGGTAGCGTCGTGCCAAGACGAAGCCTCGAAGGCAGCGTTTGACAAACAAATGAGGGACATCGTACTCAAGTCCATCTACTCCGGAGCTTGCGAGGAGTCGGCCACTGTCAGGCGTGAGTATCTCAGAGTGTTTGGGTACCTCATTTCCCAGATGCCCACGTGGGAACCTGTGGTGGATTTGAAGGGCTTCCTCGGCGGTGATGTTGACGAG